GTTAATTACAAACCTCGCGGGTGATTTATATAGAAACTTGAAAGTTTTTGGGGGAATAGAAAATTGGGGCTCATAGAGAGAATTGGTTTGAAAATGGGGAGTGTCGAATCTTAGCAACAAATGGCTGAATCTCAGTGGATCGTGGCAGCAAGGCTACTCTGCCACTTATAATACCTCGTCACGTATTTAAGTCGTCTGCAAAGGATTCTACCCGCTGCTCGGTGCTATTGTTATTGTTAAGGAGCAACAAAGTCATAATAGGTGCATGAGTTTAGTAGCCGAAGCACACTCCCCGGCAATAATAACATGCAGATTTACCCATTTCCTTTACTAGATAATGTGACCAATTCTCATTTTATTGCTGGCTTCATACTATAGTGGCTTAATCAAGTAATGTAGCCTTTGATGCCTAGAAGATATCCAGATCCTACTAAGCTGAAGGGATCAGAGTGTATGATTCATATCTAAATCATACAAAGAAAATGTGATGTCTATTACTTGTATCTCATTCCCTAGAAGATATCTCAAATGAAGATCCAAAACTTGTCTACTAGGTGAAAATGGGGAAAACGGACTTGTGATGAATCATACAAAGAAAATGGAGTAAATATGCTTGAAATACATGTATCTCATTTCACAAATAGTCATCTAGCCTGATCTCTATCCCAAAACTGGGGAAAACGGACTACTGATGAATCATACAAAGAAAATAGAGTAAATGGACTTGAAATAGTCATCTGGGACTTATAATAGTACAAAGAGAATCCTATATTACTCGAATCTCATTCCTTAGAAGAAATTCCAAATAAAGATCCAAAACTGGTCTACTAGCCAAAAATAGGGAAAACAGACTTCTGATGAATTATACAAAGAAAATGGAGTAAATAGGCTTCTAATAGTCATCTGGGACTCATAATAATATAATGAGAAGCCTCTATTAATTATATCTCATTTTCTAGAAGAGATCCCAAATGAAGATCTAAAACTGGTCTAATAAATGAAAATTGGGAAAACGGACTTGTGATGAATCATACAAAAAAATTGAGTAAATAGGCTTAAATAAGTCATCCGCGAGGAACATGTAAATTAACTCGAAGAGATATCGATTCCATAACCATCAAGTCAAGAATCCGATAGTCATCTGGGACTCATACTATTATGAACTCCATGTGCCTTAATGGTGCTGGTAATAGGAACAATATGATAACACTTTAGTATGAGTCATAATCACTAAACACTTTATATGGAAGTCCATGTCCCTCAGCTATCATCGAGAGATATTATCCCATCCGAACATGTCCCTCGATCATTGCCTTACCGCAGTACATGTCGCTCGGTTATCATCGAGAGATGTTATCTCATTCGAACATGTCCCTCCATCATTGCCTTACCGCGGTACATGTTCCTCGGCTATATCCGGGATATTGTATCCCATCCGAACATGTCCCTCGATCATTTCCATACTGCGGTACATGTTCCTTGGCTATATTCGTGATATTGTATCCCATCCAAACATATCCCTCAATCATTGCCTTACCGCTGTACATGTTCCTCGGCTATATACGAGATATTGTATCCCATCCGAACATGTCCCTCGATCATTTCCTTACCGCGGTACATGTCCATCGGCTATATCCGAGAGATGTTATCCCATCCGAACATGTCCCTTGATCATTGCCTTACCACGATACATATCCCTTGGCTATCATTGAGAGATGTTATCCCATCTAAACATGTCCCATTTCTTTTGTACCACGAAAAATGATGTCCCCTATCTCATATCTGAACACTTCAATTGACCAGTTTATGAGAAGTATTATGGGGCTCATAAAAGATTTATGCTACAATATATATATATATATTAGTCAAATGTGCTCAAATATATTATAGCTCGCACGAACCTCGATCATACCTTTCAGGCCGAAGTGAATCCTGAAAGCTTGGTATTCGATCTGATTATCATTTGGTATAAGACGAGCGAATGAATCTCGCTTCCAGCACCGGCCTAAAGAATGCCCCCGCACCACAAGAAACTTTTTGACTTCGCAAAAAAACCCTTAAAATTAAGGATCACCTAGTCAACGAATGTAAGCAAAATCATTGAAAATAAACTGTCTCATTTGATTCGTTAAAAGTCATATGGGACTCATAATAGTACAATGAGAAGCCTCTTCATCAGCAGAAAATTAATCCCTGATTTATTATAGTTGATTATCTGGGACTCAAACTGGCTTGAGGTTATATTAGGACTCATAATATAAAGGTAAACAACTCAAGCCTATTATTTGGGATGAACATGACCAACACCGTGATAAAAATCAAACTTGGATCGAATTTATTGCTACTGAGAAGACATGTACTTGGTACACTCTGGGAGTAGATGTACAATCCGCGGTAAGGCAAACAGATCCCAAAAAATTACAAGAAGTCCATTTTCCCCATCATTATACAATGAGAAGCCTCTATTACTTGCCTCATCAACATCTTGAGCTCGGATTCTGTATGAACATTACTGAGAATCTGTGTTGGTCTTATTTTGGTGCTTTGTCAGGATCTGAATGGGCGGCTTCTGATAGTAAACAATGCAGCTCCCAGAGGATCACGCCCAGAACGCCAACCTCGGACATACGAACCTGCGTTCAGAGTCTATGTGGGGAATCTACCATGGGATGTGGACAACGGTCGTGTAGAACAACTTTTCAGTGAGCATGGCAAAGTTATGGAGGCTCGTGTGGTTTATGTCCATGAGATAGGACGTTCACGTGGATTCGGGTTTGTCACAATGTCTAACGAGGCTGAACTCAATGACGCTATCGCTGCTCTCCATTTTCTTTGTATGATATATCAGAACTCTGTTTTCTCCATTTTCGGCAAGTAGACCAGTTTCAAATCTTTATTTGGGATAACATCTGATCTGAATCATCTAGGGAAGAAAATGATTATTGTTATATGAGTCCTTTGAATTATAGGAGAATATTACGTGTATCATAGAAATAGACTGTTGAATCAGCTTAATTTGGTACAGAAAATGGATCTACAATGGCTTTAAAATAGTGTATCTTGATATGAACAAGTCTAGCAAACTTAAGTAAGATCCGAATCTTTAGCTAAGAAACAGTCTACAATGGTTGCTCCACTTGACTTGGTCGAAGATACAGAGTGTCACTTACAGAGATGGAAACATGAGGAATGAAGAAGGGCAGAGACTGGATCAGAATGGCAATGTCGTAGCTGAATAGGTGGTTCAGCAAGCTGCGGTCTATGTTTAGATAACGGCCAAAAATTTAAGCAAAACTAAAATTTTGAGACACTTTGACTTCTCTTATACAATAGTGTAATGGTGGTCCTTAAACTGGGATCTCTTCTAAGGAAGTCAGTAAATAAGCTTGAAATAGTCATATTCCAAATGAGTAAACAAGACTATTTACTTGTTTGCACTGTTATTTCAAGGTAATCAATGTGGTCCAGTTTCCCCATTTTTTGGCAAGTAGACCAGTTTCAGATCATCATTTGGGATCTCTTCTAGGGAATGAGATACAAGTAATAGAGGCTTCTCCTTGTACTAATATGAGTCACAGATGACTATTTCATGCCTATTTACTCCATTTTCTTTGTATGATTCATCAGAAGTCCGTTTTCCCCATTTTAGGCTATTAGACCAGTTTCGGATCTTCATTTGTGATCTCTTCTATGGAATGAGATACAAGTAATAGAAGCTTCTCCTTGTACTATTATGAGTCCCAGATAACTAGTTTAAGCACATTTACTCAATTTTCTTTATATGACTCATCAAAGATCTCCAACACTTAGGTTGAATCTCGTACCAAGTGTACTAGCTATCTCCTCTAGCGCATTTACTGCATTAAATAATAAATATAAAAAAAACCTGGAATATTTATGAAATATAAAGATACTGACTGTAATTTTATAGGAATTTGAGAAACTAATGGCGACTCATCTCATACATTCAGCTGGATCAAGAGCTGATCAAGCGGCCGATGTTGTTAAATTTGTGAAGAAGCTTATGATGATGGTGAAGAATAGAAGAAAACTCAGAGAAGAGGATCGACATTTGTTTCTTATATACCGAAAACTGTTAGTGATTCTTATATAATATCAGTTGGTATTATATAAGAATCAAAAATGTGTTGATTCTTTTTTTTAAGAGTCTTCTCGGAAATGTGAAATTTGGCTTTTTTGGTAATTCAACATTTTGAATAAATTTTGAGCATACATAAACTCGAGATCTGAGTGAATTCATCTTCAAACAATTAGACCCAAGAAGACTCTTAAAACACTTATTGATCTGATATACAATATCAAAGTAGCCTTGATTCCAAATGAGTATTGTTTATTTTCCATCCGAATTTGCTTAATGTGACATTTGTTCCTAGACTGTTTCGGATCATTGATCCAAAGTAGACCAGACATGAAGATTCAAGAGTAGTTTTTGCCCACTATTTTCTTTGAATAAACATACAGTTGCCAAACCGGACGCTTACCACGATCCAGGGCGATAGACATCAGCTGTATTTTCAGTCTGACCTGAGTTTGCTGCGTCTTCTTCCCCAGCATCCTAGAGGAGCCACTGCTTGCGCTTCCACTTCTGCTGCTGCTGCACAGGCTAGACCATCTAGACGCCAGATCACACCCACTGCTTTCAGGCACCCTCCTAGAACTCGGATGGCCATGGATATGGGAGCCTTTCAGGATTATGTCATTGACAACTTCAAGGGTTTATGGGATGTTGTGTCTACACTCAGCAACTGTGGCTGTGTCCGCCCTCATCTCTTTCGGAATCGACCCGAAGAGCCTGTTCTGCCACATGATCACCTACTTAAGTTTAACAAGCATCCCAATCTCCTTAGGAACCTCTCCAGAGATTAGATTCTGCGCAAGACCGAGCAACTTCAAGTTGAGGCATCTATTGATTTTGGTAGGGATGCTCCCAGAGAACTCGTTTTACCCCGCACGAAACAAAGTAAACTTGCTGAGGTTTCCTATAGACGAGGCAATGGACTGGTCAAGTTGTTAGTATAAGCCACAAGCTCTTCCAAATTGTATAAGTCACCAATCTCTTCAGGCAAAGGACCTGAGAACTTGTTATTGCAAATGTTCAAGCTTCTCAAATACGACAGCTTCCTGATCTCAACCGGGATAGAACCACCAAACTGGTTGTTGTTCAATAGCATAACCTCCAGCTTCGAACAGTTTCCAATCTCCGGAGGAATATCTCCGGTTAACCCGTTATACGTGAGGTTAAGATAGACCAAGTTATGTAAGCTGTCGATGGATGGGCTTAATGTACCAGTGAGATTCATGGAGCTCAGATTAAGATATGTCACCACCAGATTACTAGTGTTATTGCCATTTGAGCTGTAATGCACACCTATCCAATTACACGGTGTCTTGTCATTTTTGTTCCAGTTGTGCAAATGGTTCAACGAATCTTGAAATCCTCTGTTCTTTAACTCCATGAGGACCTGACCATCGTTCAATTTTTTTGTTGTCCAAACCACAAGTGTCAAGAGAAACAAAACCCCACAAAGCATTGATCTTGGTTCTGTCTTAAACTCAGAGATCCCACCCATTGATCCTCTCAACTTCATTCTTGACAAAGAGGAACAATTTACAAAACTCAACAACACCTATAATTACAAAAGATTCACATTTCTTACGCACCAAAGAAAATGCTTTGGTTTTAAAAATCAAATCTTTTCAAATTAATAGAGACGGTAAAATGCGAGACTCAGAGCTTTGAGCAGCTAGGACTAACCCTAATCCTAACACTACCAGATCTATGATTGATTATGAATTTCTTAGGACATGTAGAGAATGTAAAATTAGGTTCCTTTAATAAATTTGGATCTGAAGAAAGTACTGAAAGGTTACAGTTTTCAACTTACGAGCAGCAAAAAAACCATTTTTGTCAATTATTTTTACATAAATGGAAGTTAGAGAACGAATACAAGAGCCATAATCACTTTTGGTGGATAGTCCGAGATATTTTACAAAAGTCTTTTTGGTCTTTGAAAACAGCTACATGTCTCTTTTGCTCCTTATCTACAAGCTTGCTCATCTCCAAGTTAGCATCTGAATGCTCTCCAACTGCTCTTTATTACTTGTTGATGTAAAGGTAAAGAAACTTGGATAGATTAAGCCGACTTCGGTTATGTCTTATTGAAACTGGTAATTCAGATCTTCTCCTTCTCCTCTTCTCACTAGTCCTCAAACCATCAAAGTCAAACTTTGTGACTTATAACAAGCACACTTGGGAGGTAATCCCATGACTATCCTTGTAAATATATGCTTTCTTTTATTACTCATATCTCTATTTAGTGTTTCAGAAGTAAAAAATCAGGTCCATGGATGTGTAGAATAGTTTAAAGACCAAGGAAAGAAGACTCTGTTTTCACATCAAGGTGCCATATTGAGCAGAACATCTATCATTTCTGCTCGATTCAGCTCGTCTCGAGGAAGGCCCATTCTATTCACCGAGCAGGTTACACGATGAGGGTCGAGGTTCAAGTACTCTTTCACTGCATTCAGCGCTTCAATCCAGGGATAGCTTTACATGTGGAAAGTAATTGTCATCGGCGGGACCAGTCTGAAGGGACGCTATGGTTGTTACCTAGTATATGCATCAGTGCAAGACGCAAACTTTTAGATATTCCCACTAGCATATGGGGTAGTGGATAGTGAGACTAAGGATATGTGGGGATGGTTTTTCAGAAACCAAGAACATTTGTATACGATCCTACCGACCTTATCTTCGTATCTAATAGATATTCAAGCATATATGCGGGATTAACATGAGTGAGTACACTTAAATAGAGTACATAAATATATTTTATTTTTAACTGTTTACTGTATCATATTATCCATTCTCTGTACAATTTTTAGATATAATATACATAATTTAAATAACTCTGCATTGACGTTGCAGGTCAACCTTATGGCCCATCATATCACATGTGTGGTACATCTATGGTGTAATGTCTGTGTTTCTTACTAACTAAGAGCCTTGCAAATATTGTGAAAGATGCTGCTCATGCCTACACTGTTAGTAAGTTCAATAAATAAATCATTGAAATCTAAAGATTGAATAATGTGTGTGCGTTTTATCTTGTTGACAGTGGTAAGTATGGACAGAAATTGAATAACGAGTACACATAAACGGGTTTGAATATAGTTTGTCTAGAATTTTTATACTATACTAATATTTTCACCTTGTATAAAATTTGACCATTGGACCATAGCCAATTGTAAAGGACACCGATACAACATCATGGATACTAACATCACCGAGTCCTGGAATGCAGTACTTAAAGAGGCAAGAAAATATCTATTAATATGAATGCAAAAACAAAAGTGGAGAAAAACTTTGATAAACTACATGTTTGGCAGTGAAATGTTTTGCAGTGAAGCTATAAGTGGGTTTGAGTTTCAAGTACAGCTCCACAGGGTGAATGTTACTCTACCAGTCTAGTGGACAGCACATGCTCTTGCATGGAGTTCCAAACAGTTGGAATCCTTTACCCACATGCACTCGCTAGAGAAAAGAGTATAAACATGTAAACAGACAAACTGGTTGCTGCTGCATATTATGTTGAGGCATGGAAACATGTATTCGAGGAGAAGATTTATCCTGTAACTTCGCTGGGAAGTAATGTTATCGAAGGAGCATTTAGTGGTGACATAATGATACCAAATGTGCACCCCCTGTTGGGGTCGGTTTTCACCCCGATGAGATCATTCGAGAAAATGACTAAGCATGGAAACAATTCTTGACTATATACGAAATGTACAAGAAACCAAGCCGTGCACAGTCTGTGCACGAGTACGAGCTGAATGCCTTGGTGCACATTTTATGCATAGGTCCGAGCTGAATGCCTCGGTACACAGTCTGTGCACGAGTCCAAGCTGAATACCTAGGTGCATAAATTGTGCAGAAACCGAGCAGCACGCCTCGGTGCACATATTGTGCAGAAACCAAACTGAACGCATCGGTGCACATATTGTGCAGAAACCGAACTGAACGCCTCGGTGCACAAATTGTGCAGAAAGCTGAACATCTCGGTGCATATATCGTGCATGAGTCCGATCCAAATGCTTCGGTACAGGTTTTGTGCATCAACCAAGCTGAATGCCTCGGTGCAGAATTTTCGCATAGAGCCGAAGAGAACTGAAGCGTGCATGAAACATGCACGAGTTATGCACGAAACCGAGCTGAACCAAACCGTGCATGATTTGTGCATGACCCGAGCCAAACCGTTGCCTCGGTCAGAAACCATACACAAACCAAACCAAACAAAATATGCTCAGTGTCGAGCCAAACTAAAGTATTTATAGACTAAGTCAAGAGGTCGTCCAAAACCAAGACCGAGGCGAAAGCATTTGGATTACGGGCTAAGCCCAAGCCCACAAGGAGGTCCGAGGCGACATTTACCCTAGAAGACGAAGCCTTGTGGAAGGGGTCGCCGTCAAGACAAAATGGAAAAAAGATCTACAGAATATACTCCTAGATTTTTGCTTAGGCGGTAGAGAAGTCGTATAAATAGATAACTTAGTTCATTCGTAAAGGAACCAGCTTTTTACCTAGCAAAGCTCTAGCAAAATACTTGTACCAAAAGCTTATCTAAGCGGCAATAATAAAACCACCATCTTTGGATCCTTGTTCTCTCGTATTTACTTTAGAATCTTTACGTTTTTTTTTTAATTTTTAACAGACAAATTATATTGTGTGAAATCTAGCCCACATAATTTAGCGCTAGAAAGAGGGGGGGGAGTCGAAGAATTCTCACACCCACGAACCGAGAAATACGAGATACAAAGAGATGTCCACTGGAGCACAAGACAGAGATAACATTAGAGTTGGGCGAGGCGATGAAGGCACAGGCGACGCAGTTCAGCATCCGCAGACACAGGCCGAGGCGCTCACGACTGCCCTAGCCGAGAAGAAGGAGATGTTGGCAATGCTGGAAAAGAAGACGGGAGAGTAAGACAAAACCCTCGAGGCGTTAGCAGCGGAGAGTCGAGCCCAAAGCCAACGCATCGGGAGCATCCTCCCATCAACTAATCCACCAGGCAGGTTCAGGAGACACAGACTTAACCCTACGACACTCAATTTCTCTACACCAGTATGAGCGGCAGCAAACCCGGAGGTTCAGGAGTTCTCCAATCATGACCTGCCCCTGAAGAACAGACACATGCCGCTACAAGGCCAAATATCACAGCCCCACCACGCTTGAACCGAAGAGGAGTCGCCCAGGAACAGGGAGGCCAACAGCCTGGTGGATCCGTTGGCGAACCAGTTGGGAGCGAGGCCAATCCAGTTACGGCCGAGGAGACACCAACGGATCTGACCCAACTTAATACAAATAATACCACGGCAATACAGATCCGAGCCGAAGGAGATGTTGGCGACACGGAGCACGAGCACGACTCGGACGAGGAGGATGAAGATCTCGCATGGGATGAACAAGCTCGATACCTAGAGGAGCACAAAACTATAAATCGGAGCCACTTTATCCAACATAAACATGAGAGCCAAGGAGGAGATGCCCTTAGCAAGATCCAAGCTGATTTAGCCCGAGCAAATGCCGAGGTGGAAGCCATCCGATCTGAGGTGCATAAGGCGACCAGCACGGCACCCGAGATAGACTTGCTGCTAGAGGAAGTCCAGAAGACCCCGTTCACCGTTCGGATCACCGAGGCAAGAGTATCCGATCCTGGGAAAATCTAACTTCCCACCTACGAAGGAACAACCAATCGAAAGGAGCACGTCAGGACGTTTAACACCGCGATGACGAGATCCAAATTCAAGGAGAATGAACGAGACGCTGGTTTCTGCCTTCTCTTCGTAGAAAGCCTTCAAGGAGCACCCCTTGAATGGTTCTCGCGATTGGAACAGAACTCGATCGACAACTTCAAAGAGTTGACTAGGGAATTCATGAAACAATATTTAATGTTCATGAGTCAAGGCGTTTCAAATGCTGACCTATGGACCTTGTCCCAAGGACCGACCAAATCGCTGAGAGCATTCATGGGATGCTTCAAAGCAGTTATGTCTAAAGTAGAGAATGTGAGTGACAAGGGAGCACTCGTCGCTTTGAGAAAATCTCTCTAATATAAGTCGGAGTTCAGGAAGGAAATAAGCCGAAACAAGCCGCAAACTATCCTGGATGCCATGCACCGCGCTTCAAACTTTATACTGGAAGAAGAAGAATTCAAAACTTTAGACCAGCGTTTCGGTTCGGGGAAGGCGAACAGCAAGAGTCAAATCACGACGCCGAGTCAACTATCCCAAAAGAAGAGCTACCAGAGCAACTCGTACGTACACCATGAAGGACCAAATTTCCACGGAGCCCATAACTATCAGATTGGCACTGGCCGAGGCAAATTCACGTAGAATAATACCTGGACAAGAAACCCAAACTCATATGACGAAAAAGCGTACTGTTAGGTGCACAAGGCCTACGGACATCCGACGTTGAAGTGCCGAAAAATTGGGGCTAAACTCACTGAGAAACTCATAGCAGGGGAGCTCGGTGACATGGTGACCTTGAAGGACCTCGAAGTGGAAATCACAGAAGAAGTAAGAGCAGTA